GTTTGACAGGTGACCACCGGGCGGCACCAATCGAACGGCAGTGCGCGCTAACTGCTCACACGCCTCTCCTATAAAAGGAATGTCGGCGACCCATCGCGGACGAGATGAGCCGTCATCGTTGTCGTCGGCTGCCACGACATCAATTTGGCCTATCGCACCCGTAACGGACTCCCGCGTCTCTCCGCTGTGCTGCGGTGCACGCGTGCGAGCGCAGTGGCGCGAAAGTCGTCCATTAGATGCTGGGCTGCCGACTGCATCTTCGCTGACCACACCCACCGGTGCGGCAGCGCTGCAACAAGGCGGAGAGGAAGGAGAAGAGCAGGCAGAGAGATCTGCTGCGCAGCGCTTTTTTCGTTTGCCACTTGGCTCTAATGGATATGCGGTGACTGTTGAGGGGTGTGGATGAGTGAGGGAGGTCGGGGTGCTGTGCGCCACATCCAGTACCTCACGCGCGGCCTGCGCGCGGATGCCGGCACGGAATTGGAAAGGAGAGCGGTCCGTCTGCGATCGACCTGTTGACGCAGACGGCGGGAGGGGTGGGGATGGCGATGGCGACGGCGGCTTTGGGCTGGGTTCAGAGTTCTCTAACGATGCAGCGGTGGGCTCTGTGGAGGAGGAGGAGGGGGCGGTGGTAGAGGAGAGACGCGTCGTCGCTGCGCTGTTCACCGCCTTCGCCACGGTCCAACGGCTTTGCATCGTGCGCTGGAGTCCGTGGGGGGAGGGGAGAGTGGAGTGAGGGAGAGAACGGCGACCGGCTCTCACATCAGGGATGAGAAGAAAGAAGAAAATAAAAAATGTTCTCTCTGCCTCGAGGAAGAACAAAAACCTGTCCGGTTGCGTTCGTTCGTGTTATTGTCTCTCTGCATAAGCATACGCGTGTGCGACGGTCAGAAACAATCGCACAGGTTCCGTGCGTCCACCCAGCCGCTGTCTTGCCGCGGGGTGGTGGGGAGAGAGAGAGAGAGAGCAGAAAACATGAGAAAGGAAACGGGAGAAGAAAAGAAAGAGAATAGACGAAAAAGGGGAGAGAGTCGAACGCGCGGCAAAAGCAACACGAATCAAAACACCACCGTCGGTTCAGACCGTTATCCTTCATTCTGATAGCTCTTCTTTTTCTTTTTTGGGCGGTAGGCATAAAGTCACGCGGCAACACTGGGATCAGGAGTCTTCTCTCTTAAAGAATTAAAAGAAGGAAACGGTGATGCGCGGATTGAAGCGGCGTCTTTCCGCGCTATCGACGCTTCCCCAGAATGCACTGAACGGAGAGGAGGTCCCGCCCTCCCTGCCGGTGCGTCCTTCATCTCGAGGGGGCGAGGTCCACGCGCACATCGGCTCGGCCCTTCCACCGCCTGCTGTGGTGAGGTCCTCTCTCGCCTACACCCATCGCCCCACAATAAACTGCCCGTTTCATTCTTCGTACTATTATTATTAGTATTCGATGTTTTCTTTTCCTTAGGGGATTTTTATTTGCTGTTGGAAAAGACATGAATCAAAGATGGCACTAAAGGCAACAAGTGTGTGCCTCCACTTACGTAGAGACACACACACACACAAGCACGAAATAAATAAATATATATAAGCGGTAGGAGAGAGAGAGGGGTAGAAATCTATGGCCATGGCAGCGCCCCACCCACCCACCCCTCTCGAAGAAGGAGGTCGATCTTTCAACACCACTGAAATCGAAAAGGCGAAAGGATATTTAAAAAGAAAAGAAAAGAGGAAGAGGGAGGAAAGGCCGTGTAGAGGAATTTGGTTAAACCGTATTTTTAAAGGAACGTAAGCACACAAAGGAAACCAGAAAAGAGATAGATACACACACACATATATATATGTAGGTAGAAAGATGGATAGATAGATAGATATAATTGCTGTACAGCAGAACTGACGGAACGGACTGTTACCAGTAGCTGTGGGATCGTGTGCCCATCGGGAGCTCTCAGGAAAGAAAACAAAAAAAGAGACAAAGGAAGCCAGTCGCATGCATCGATAGAGAGATATACATATAGAAGCGCTTCAAAGACCTAATATAAAATAAAATAAAAAGGTAAAAAGAGAGAGGTTGCAACAGAAAAAAACTTCCCGTCATGAACGACGGTAAGGTGGAGAGCAGCGACAGCATCACGCAGTGCACGTCCGCGTTCTTCTCCCCCTCCCCCCTCCCTCACCCTCACACAAACACACGCATCGGCACAAACGAATGCGGGTGTAAAGACATGCAGATGTGTGAGGAGGATTGTGTTGATGTGCCTGTGTTTGGTGAGAGAGAGAGAGCGTGTGTGTACGTGTGCGTGTGTTCGCCCCACTTACGCGGGGGAGCACACACGGGAAAAATTTTAAACCAACAAATAATAATAATAAAGGGATATTACAAAGGAAAAAAACAACGCTAGGACGTGTGTATGTGGTGACGCTCAGGAAACCCGCAACGCGCACGCGGAAGCTTCACAGCTGAAATGGTGCGGGTCTGAAGGGACGAGGATCGCGGTAAAAACAGAAGTGTGTATGATTGGGAGGGGAATATATATAGGAGAGCGAGAGGCTTCTTCTTCCGGCTTTCTTACTTGAAACGTACGCGCCCGTCCCTCCCTCCCCCCCCCCCCCTAAAAAAAAACGGACGAGGAGGGCACAGCACCGCTCCTCATAGAGCCCCTCCAGCGAACAACACCTGAAGGAAGAAGAGCGAACACCGTGGGTGTGTGTGCGTGTGTGCACCCTCTGGGTCGGTTCAGTTGACCTAGTCATAAAGCAAAAAAGAAAGGTTCAGCGCACCTCCCTCCCTCGTCCACCAGCGCCACCGCCCCGGCGTGCACGTCAGCAGCCGCGCATATATATCTAACACTGCAACCGCAGCGCGACGCCATGTAGCCGCTGACAAAAGAGAATCACAAAGACACGAAGGAGAACCTCAAGCACGGAGAAAAGCACGGACACACACACACACACGTGCGCTTACACGTGCATCTGCGCCGCCAGAGTCACCTACATGTCCAGCCTATCGCTCTCGTC